CGGTGGCGGTGGTGGTGGACGACGGTGGCGGTGATGGGGGATGGTGGTGATGGTGGTGGACGGTGGTGGTGGTGAAGAGAAGTAGAAGAAAAAAATGGAGAATATGTTAGAAGACATAGGTTAATGTCTTCTCCAAGAAGATGCCAGGAAGACCTTTTTGAAAGAAAAGTCTTCCAAAAAACAAACAATCTGCAGAGCTCAGCATCTGCGCGCGTCTGCGCGACGCAGACAAAAGAGGTCAGAAGCTCTTCTGGCCAAAAAACAACACCCCCTTACTCTCTTAGCTTCATCTACATTTAATTTTTTATGTGAAATTTGTACTGAATAGCACTAAAACATAAGTCATTTTCCAATGCAGAAATTAAATTTTTTTATTCCCTAAATAGGACTTAATAATGACTAATGAGAAGAATATAATAATGTCCAAATGATGCTAGACATTTAGTTGAACAATGACTAATAGATAATGACCAATGGTCCTACATTTGAAAATTAAAACATGTGGTCTTATATTGAGAAAGTTATTATGTTTTAGTCTTATTTAGGTAAATTACCCATTTATTATTGTGACTTTCAAAATACATCATAGTAAATGAATATTAACTATGTGTGTGTGCGCGCATATTGGTTCTCGTGAAAATGCGATCTTATGAAAGAAATGAGAATGAATCTGGTGCTTTAGATTTTAAAATCTAAGGGCCAGGATTGCATCAAAATTAAGTGCACCAAAATGATTTGAAAATATATCGTGTCAAAATGCACCAAAATCCTTTGAAAATGTACTATGTCAAAATCTGAGTGCAGAATGCAATCTGAGCCGCACGATGCATCAAATCCAAAGGCTATATTTTATTCTTATTTCTTTCACCAAGATGCATTCTCACCTGAATCGGCCCACATGCACATATATATATATATATATATATATATATATATATATATAAATGCACACTCCTATGCATAGCTAGTTTTTTTATATGTATGCATGGATACGGCTCTCCTTCACGTGCATAAAAAACAAGCGTTGCCCATATAGTTTTTGTCCTAATAATAAGAACTGTGTTTGTCTTGCATGGCAAATCAGAAGAGTCCCTGAAATCTGGTCTATCTTTGACGTGAACTTTTTAAATACATGCATGCGTATGTGAATATTTTATAATAAAAAATAAAAATTAATTAAATAAACAACATTTTGAACGTGGTGAAATAATAATAATGCAAAGCATACGGACGGCCGCTTGTCTATTCGGATGGGGATTTGGTGTCGTCCGCATGTTGTGACTCCATTTCCGGTCATCCAAAAGAAGCCCAACAATCAATCCGGCCCAAAAAATTTAAAGGTGACAAATATAGATATGTTCTTTGAGATAGTACCAATACGATACTGTGATGACAATACGGTACTCTCTTAGTCCAAATCTAAGATTCACTCTCATTCGACTTTTCTATATCAAAGTTTGTAAATTTTAACCGAGTGATATAAATGTAATATTAAAGCACACATAATCAAAGTATGCATTATATATTGGGGATTTACCTAAATAGTACGGAGTACTAAACATAATAACTTTTCAATGTACGGTGTATTCTACCTAAGACTTGGTCCAAATCCAGGTCCACAGCAGCGGACCGGTCAAGATTCAAATATGTCAGAAAGGAAGATATAAACTAAAAATAGACCACCACTCGGGTTCGAGAAAGTTGACTGGTACAAAATATAGAGCTATCGGTCAGAGTACGTGACTTCAAGCTTGTGATTTTCTGCCCCTTTAGAACACAAACAAAAGGTAAACCTACCGAATAGGCTAACACAGTGTGAAAGTGTCGGTACAAATAACTTCAAAGTTGGTTGGATAGTAGCTAGTGACCAATGTCAAGAAAGATTGAGAAAATGTTCTCTCAATCTCAGCTGGGCGCTACGCGCCAAAGGAGGAGTCATCAGCACAAGATGACAAAGGAATAAGACACAACGATATGTGACAAAAGGAAGTCACCTCGCGCCGTCTAAGAACATGGGTTGATGTGGATGTTGCAGCGCTCTGTCCCCTTCATTTCATTATAAATACCTTTATAGCCTCCAGATTAAGGGATCTGATCGAATTTTAGCTTTCTAGAGTTCATATTATAATAGCTCCCATCACTCTCTACATACTTAATACTCCTTCCGTCCCTAAATAAACTTCCTCTTTCGTTTTTTCTTTGTTCCCAAATAAACTTCTCTTTTCTCTTAAAAAACCCATTTTACCCCTTACTTTTTCATACCCTACCAATCACATCATACCTTTTTATTAATAATCTACTTATCACATCTTACTTTTACATATCACATCAAGGATATTTTTGGAAAGTCACAACAAAAATATCCCTCCCTTAAATTCTCAAAAAGTCAAAAACGGAAGTTATTTAGGGACGGAGGGAGTAACAATTATTGGACCAGATGTGATTCCACCCACAGTCCTACCGGTCACTCTAAGTTTTCCTGCACCTTTCATTCTCTAGACTCAATAAATTATTCTAGCCCCGGTTTAATACAGTTTGCTCGGTGGTAATGGAAAGGTCACCCCCAAGATGAATAACTTTTTTATGTATTGTATTTAAAAAAATCGTTCTAGTTTTTTGGTATTATGTTTAAATTAATA